ACAAATATGGTTCAAATGTACATCTCTTGAATTGGAATCACTTCTTGTGTTTACATGACAAACTATTTATGTCACCTCACTTTGCCCTTCACCACTTTTCATCATTATCCTTCATCCCCTGCTGGCTCCTGAACAGGATATTATTTCCTTCATTGTTTCTAGTCCACAACACCTGCAGGCCTGCAAGACTGGAGATGCTCATGAGTCACCAGAGAAGAAGAAGCTCACAGAGGTTCACTCAGCCATTAAGAGTGAAGGGGAAGTATGCCTCACTTCAGGTTTTGTGTTCCTTTGGTTCTGATACAATACCATGCAAACACTAAAGTACATTACGATACCTGTCTACACAATATAAACACTATTTAAAACTGTACAGACACCAGATGAGAAACAAAATCAGAACACACACACACAAAAAAAAACAGAACCAGATAACCTCAAACTGAGTTGTTGGCATCAGTCACATCAACCTTAATTTAGACATAATTTATTTTGAATTATGATTTCAGCATATACAGTACAATGCAAATGTAATTCACAGTGTGACTGACACAGTTTTGAGGTTGAACAGGGACCACACAGTAACATCTGCTGCAGTAGTTAATATCTCTTCTGTTTATGCATCAGTACTGTAGATAATGTGTGCCATTCATTTTTTACTATCGAGTTTAACAGTATTCATCACACACTAGTCCCAAAGCTGCACATAATATCTCAAGTTCAATTGTTACATAAACGTCTAAAAATGAGCTACAGTGATGACAAATGTGTGTTTCCCACACACATCTGTTAGTGTCAGTGTGGGATGACGATGCAGTGACTGTCTTTGAATGACCAAGCACTTCAAAATGCCAAAGACAGTTAACACTCAGCTCCCCCACGTGTGAAATAAACAGCAGCCACACAGGACAGTACCAGGACACAACAGTCTCACCTCTCTGAAGCTCAGCTTGCCATCAAAGTCTTCATCCACTTCCCTGATCATGTTCTTGAGGCCCAGGTGGGTCTGCGGAGCCCCCAGCTTCTCCATCATCAGCTTCAGCTCCATCAGGTCAATAAAGCCATCTTTTCCAGTGTCATACCTTCAAACCACAAAAGCCGCATAGTGTCATGGCCCAGCTGGTCTCGGAGCATGATAACAGTCAACACAGCACAGTGTTATTAACTCACACAGTCATAATGCTTTCATGTTCTGCCACTGTAACAAAACTCCACAGCGTACACTCTTACAGCTAGGGCTAGGTACTGCTCGATACTGGCTTCATTGTGGTACCAAACCAGCCAAACTGAATCTACGTGAACCTAATTTGGTAAATGAAATGTTTTCAAACAAATAGCCCAGTCTGAAAAGGGCTTGAGGACAGTCGACCAATTAAGAACCATCTATGGTGAAGGACAGCAGCAGCATTTCACAGTTTATTGGGAAGGTGACAGTGGTGCGCTGGGTAGAGCAGTCGTCTCCCAATCGGAAGATTGAAGGTTCGAACCTTGGTGCCTCAGTCAACATGTTGAAGTGTCCTTGGGTAAGACACTGAAGCCCCTTGCTGCCTGTGATGGTGGCGTGTACACACGCAGTGGCCTGGGGCCCTCGGCTCCAAACAAAATTTTATTGTTCGTGTTACAGTGGCAATAAAATAAAGGTTCTACTACACCAAAACCTAAAAACACCATTGAACTCTGGCTTTTGGTAGCATTCTGAACAAAAGTGTCTTACATTGGAGTATTGCAGACTGCTATTTCATCTTTGCTGCCATAAATCTCTCCTTCCTCTCAACATCATGACAAAACACAAATCTCAGAGACAGACGATCAGACCACCTGAAAACATAATGCCTCTGGCTGTTTCCATGCAGGGTCATGCAAAACCTCTTCTACAGTTAACCACTAAGACATCATTAGCAGACCCATCTACATTATTTGACTCATGGAGTCTGTCTCTGAACATGCACACGAGTAGCTGCTGGAGGTCATTTTGTAGGGCTGTTGCAGCTCTCCTTCTGTTCCTCCTTGCACAAAGGAGGACATACTGGTCCTGCTGCTGGGTTGTTGCCCTTCTATGGCCCTGTCCAGCTCTCCTGGTGTAACGGCCACTCTCCTCCAGCTACTAACACTAGCAAAAGGCAAACACCCACTCAGGAAAGATAAGGAGAGAGCAACTGTCTGTGGCCACCACATGCACCCATTCCCTTTCTAAATGAACAGATAGGCATCCCTGAGATTTAACTGACTTGGTGTTATACAGTGATGATCAAATGTTCCCTTAATTTTTTGAGCAGGTTAGTTTCACACAGACTAGTTACTGGCCTTGAACATCTCTCCTTCTAAAGCCATTATAATGCAAGAGGTGGACAACATAATCCACAGTCCTATGCCTAAGAAAAAATATACAACAGCACTTAATCTTAGTCCAACCAAAGTGTAATCTTCCAAAGTTCTATCTGTTTATCAATTTTTTGTTTTATTGTGCATCCCCTGTCTCATCAGGGAAACACTGGGGAAACACTTTGCGCTAAAATGTCTGCCATTCTGTAATATAATGGTTTAAATGACTCAGCTGAAGCATTTCACACAGAAAGATGACGGTGGATTTTCTTCCCCATCACATAGATCTTCAGGAGATCACATCAGAAAAAGAATTTCTTACAGCTAATATGGAGAGGAAGAATGATTACAGAAACCTATATTCTTGCAGTGTATTTATGGGTGTGTCCGATTTTTAAAAATAAGAGCCTGTCCTTTTAAAATGGCTTTGTTGTCGTTTGGTTTGATTAAGAGGCTAGGAGATGCAATTTGTCAGTGATTGTTTGGAGTGGTTGGGGTTCAGGAGGTCGAGTGGTCCGTATCTTAACCGATGGATTGGCGTTATGATTCTCAGCTTCTCTAGCCCAAATGTTGAAGTGTCCCTGAGCTGGAATGGTGAACCCCAAGTTGCTCCCGATTGCCGTTCCACTGGTGTGTGTGTGTGTGTGTGTGTATGTGTGTGCAAAAGGGTAAATAGCGTTTTGCGTGTGCAGCATTGCAGAGAAAAGCACTATACAAGTCAATTTACCATTTTGAAACTGCATGGCTTACTCTGATCCATTCACCAGTAGTAATAGGTACTACTTGAGCAATAGGGGTGTCTCTGTACCGCCATGGGTGTCACAGCAGAGAGAGACAGAAGTTTGACTGTGGGCTTTACTGATGAGATTACAAGTCACTGGTCCTGTACCAGTGGGCACAGTTCAGGCAAGAAGTTTGCAAGTGAAGTTCCTACACTTGTTAATTTTACTGCCAGATGAATCTATACTCACCCCACAGCTGGAAGTGTGTGTTACATATAGCAAACAAGTTCAAACTAATGGTGCCTCTGTCATCATGAGGTTGGTGCACTGGTTTATAAACCTTCTAAATAACATGATTAAATGTTGAACAAGCCTAAAATGGATGCTGGTGTATGAATATCAATTACTGTTAATAATCCACATGTAGTTACAGAGTCATGTCTCTCTACCACAAAGAGGTTTCTAGATTCTAAATCTCTGAAGGAAAAGGTTGCTGTTATCAGACTGGCACCACTGAGCTTTGGAATTACAGTGGGTAGTTTAGATCAGCTGCATTTCTACTAGAGACCCCAGAAACTGACTCAGGCTAAAAACGTCTTGTACCCTGCTTCACAGAGCAGAGCTAAAAAAGCCTTTATAACCGACCAGCTGATGTATTCATACAAAATATTTAAGACATTCATATCTTAGTTAAGAATATGGAACCATGGTGGACAGTGTGATAAAGAGGACACAAATACGGCACAGGGTTGCCGTTACATAAAGGTTGTGGTCTTGGTTAAATACTGAACAAGTCAGTGATGACTTGAAGCATACAATGGGACTTGAACCCCAGTCTCCACTCTTATAGCGACACAGTAAGTCACACAGTATTATGTGACCATGCTAGAAAACATTGTGGCAAAGACACACAGCAGCTGAGCCTCATGAAAGGACCTTTTGTAGCAACCACTCACACAAGAAGCATTCTTCTAATTAGTGTGTATGTGACAACTGCACCGACAGCTGATCGTCAGCCTTCTACACAGCCATGATACCAGGACACTGTAATGAAAGGACTACAGTCTAAATGTAGAATTAAGGAACTGTATTTAATAACCTTTAACTAACTGTAATGTAATAATTGGAATTACTTGAAAGCGGGTTGGGATTAATCACAAGCCCCCGCTAATTTGCATGATAGACAGATTCCAAACCAGGAGTGGGCTGAATCTCCCGGCACAGCATTCCGATCGTGGGAACACAGAGGCCCACATGAATTAGTTTGGCTCTTCTATGTGAGAGCACAGGAATGGCAGAGGCACTCTAAAGCAGGGTGGACCCCTGCTGCATTCTGATCATCAGCATAGGCACACAGGAGCACCCTTACACTCAGGGACCTGTTTTTATTTGTTTTTCTTTAACATTTATGAACCCTGTTCTTTTTGTTTGTTTGTTTATCTTTTGTGTTTTTCTATCACTATATACAAGCCAAATAAAGTTGGTGGGGAAAAAACAGGTCCTTCTAGAACAACCGCTCTCTATGGTTTGCAGATGCTTATTAGTCTATTAGTTCGCCTGTGATTTACATTTAATTACAATCAAGGAAGCATCTGATCTGTCCCAAATTCTTTCTGCAGCATGACACTGAGCCCAAACTTATATCCAGAGTTAGGGCTGTCCTGTACCCAAGTAAGAATTTTGTCAGTCAACTTGGATTCGGCTGCACAGTGCTTCATTTGTAAATCATGAGGTCCCAGAATATCACTTTGTGACAGACTTGGCCTGTCAGTGTGGAACAAAATGTGGAAAACTTGAAAGGTCTGAATACTTGCCGTATTGACTGTATAATGTCAGGCTGCCATATAAATTTGTTGGAGTAATAAGACAGGCACATTTCTGTTGAAACGAGGCAGTTTTGTCTTCTGAGACATGGTTATAGCCAAGTTTACCAACAATTTTCTCTCATCATTTAACCAGCGTACACTGTTAGGTTGTTACAACATGCACTACTAAACAATATATATTTATGATTCCTCTGATTTATAGTTACTCATTGAAATGTTTTCCCAGCACATTTTTTGTTAGCTTCCTAGTCCTGCTCTGATGGTTGCGTCTCACAGAAACATAAGATAAATGGCTGTGCTTTACACTTTGACGGAGATGGGCAAACAACCTGGACGCACATATGCATAACCAGCTACATTGTTGCGACTGTCGGTCTTTTCTCTTGTAAAAGCAGACTGCGATGTTTGAAAACATCTAATAAAGCACAGATGTCACACACAATATGAAAGAGACCAACGAACTGATAATTGACTTTAGGAAGAATAAGGAGGTACACACACCACCGTACATTAATGGCGAGGAGGCAGAGAGGGTAGCAAGCTTTAAATTCCTGGGTGTCCACATTGCAGAGGACCTCTCATGGACTGTTAATACCAATATGCTGGTTAAAAAGGCACAAACGAGGTTATACTTCTTAAGGACAGTCAGGAAGATAAATCTCTCACAACACCAGCTTAGATTTTACTATCGCTGCACCATTGAGAGTGCCCTGAACCATGGCATCCTGGTGTGGTACAGGACCAGCTCTGCAGTTAATAAAAAGGCTATGCAGAGAATCGTCAAGAGTGCAAATAACATCACAAACTCCCAGTTTCCAACCCTGGATGACATTTTCACTTCTCGCTGTTTGCAGAAAACTCACAATATCCTCAGAGACTGTTTTCACCCTGCTCATCACCTTTTTGAACCGCTGTCTTCGGGCAAATGATACAAATCCATTAAAACACCCACTAGACGATTTCTGTACAGTTTTTACCCTAGAGCCATAAGCAAACTAAATATTGATCTCCAAAACCACTCTTATTGAAGACAGCATGTTTTATCATGCAATATTTATTGATCCCTTTTAAGTGTAAATACCTCAGTGTTATTGTATTTGTATTTATATAGTTGTACCCTGAAGTGCATCTAAAATTTCATTGCATAATTTGTACAATGACAATAAAGTATCTATCTATATGCGTCTTGTCCTAGTAAATTTTGTTGCCTTT